GGTCTACCTATGCTGTCAATTACAGGCCTCTCTCATCTTTTTAAGTGGGAGAACTTGCACAATTGGTGACTGACTAAATACTTATTTTCCCCACTGTAACACGAAGATAATAACGAAGCCCATATTCAAGGTGTAATGTCCCTTTAGAGCCTTCACTACAGTGTTAAGCCCACTTAGCTAGAAGAAGGTTAATGAGATGAATCTATTGCATCTTCTCTGATATTTTCACTTCCTAGTCTAAAGAGCTTTCAGCCTTTCCCAGACTCATTGTTCATTTTTTWAATTCGTCTCACTTGGAGGTTCGTTTCGAGGTGATGCGTTCTCGCCTCTTCAGCACCGTAAAGAGAAATCAGGCATGAGCGGATGCTTCTGTGCTCCCGCTGGCTCAGGGTGGAAATATACGTCTTGTCTTGCTCTGCCCTTGGTAAGCACTTTTTGTGGGCGAGGCCACATTTCACCGTGCCCCCCGCTTGTTTCTGCTGAAGCGGACGGTGCTACATTATGGTGGGTAACCTAAAACGACCCGGAGACTGCAGCAGTTAGCAAAATATTGGGACAGCTCATGGGGGTGAAAAATGTTTGCAAGGACAAAGTGAAGACGATCAGCTGTCCACGTGCGCTTTATGAGTGTTGATAACTCACCTCTGCTCAACCTGCCTCCATCCCTCACTATCATAACGAGCTAATAAAGCAATTGGGACGATCGTTATTTGATTTATAGGACTGACTTTACGCAAACATAATGTGCAAGTTTAAATTAGACTGACTCGTCTCCAAGGTGTGTAACTCCAGATAAAAACAAAAAAGAGCTTCACTATTGCTAAAATTTGCCACTCAGCCAGGAGGCCTCGTTTGTTTTGTTTATGAGCAGAAAGTCAGACCTGTGCTGCTGTTGCTGCATTTCCTGAGTGAATCAGGTCAAACACAGAACGGAGGAGGGGTTTTTTTTTCACATGAATTTCAGATTATCTTGATATAAAAACTTGCAGAAGCATGTAGGAGGTTCTGTGGGAATTCTCTGCGCGGTTTATAAAAATACCAAAGACTAGTTTGTCTTGTATGAAATGCTTGTATTGGAAGAGACTCAGTGGTGCTTCACAATTCAGTGACGATGACTCAGAGGAAGAACCTGAATTTCTCTACATTGTTCACCATGAGATCAGCTTAAAGCATTTTTTTTTCTCAGAGGGTATCAGTCTTAAAGTTTTTTATGTAAAAATCAACCTTTTTTTAGCGTTATATCATGTTACAGTATATCATCCCTCATCAAAAACATACCCAGTGTTGCTTTGACTCATTCATGTTTGAGAAATCCTTGAATCGCCTGTGGCCATGTGGAGCTGCCTAAACCCTTGCTGGTACAAAGCACCGCCTATTTGTACCAAGCTCCTCCCCAGATCTCAATCTGCAGCCGAGCTCCCGCCCCACAGAGGCCCCACCTCCCCTGAAGCGTTGTTGTGAAGACGTGCTGAAGTGGGAGTATCAGAAACAGCAAGGGGTTAAAGAGGCAGAGGCCAATTTCAAGGCGTTTAGATAGAGGCTGTGTCCAAGGTCTGGGTCCTTTGAAGGACCTGACCTACCTGGTCTAGGTGGGCCAGGTCCTTAGTAGACTGTCAAATACCAGCAAAAAGTGGCTGTGAATTTGGACGGTCTAGCCTTTTGCTTTATTCCCGCCCTTACCCCAGAGTATGTCCTACCGTCTTGCAACCGTAACAACATTAAACAGAAGCAAAAATAGATCAAAATTTGCAAAGTATCAATTTTTTTTTGTTGTTGTTGTTGTTGTTGTTGTTGTTGTTGTTGTTGTTGTTATAAATCAACAAAATTAGCTTAAAGGCAGTCTGGAATGCGTTTTGGGATAAGGTGGGCTGAGAATAATCTTATCAGACCCATCCCTAAAATCGAGGTTAAAGGAGGACGTATTTGTGGGCCACATTAGAGGAGTCTTTGAATTTGGACAGCCTCCGGCACGGCGATGTGATGTTAAGTGGCCGACAAATTTGGCCTTCGGAGGAAGCAGACCCTGGATTTGGACACAGCCACACAATTATTCAAAGTCAATTTTATTTTTATATATAAAGAATTTCCAATGAAGGCAACATAAATACTTGATTGTGATGTAGAATTGAAGTATGTGCCTGGAAAATACACAATACCCCCCCCCCCCCTAAAAAGATTAGGATGTTTCTGGACAAAGAAACAAGCCGACAACAAGATTAGCTGCATGTTTCTATGATATCAGTTGCCCACAATGACTAGGCCTGGCTCCTGTCACTGTGTAGTGTCACAACAAGAGATGATCCAGGATTTACCGTTGCAGAGGGACATCTGGGCTGGACTTTGAAAAGCCACGATAACGTTTTTGGCACGGGCCATGTCATGCTAAAGCCCCCTCCGACACACCGCCGTCAGCCACAGTCTCGTCTCTGGGCACGCAGCGCCAAGGTCACGTCCACGCACACACAGGCTGCAGCTTATATCATCGCTTAATCAAGGGATCAAGGGTGACAGAAAACACAGACATTTGTTTATTTTTAGTTGGCTGCAAGAGAGACACGGAGCAGGATGTGTGCTGACGTGTTTCTGTGCGCGGCAGTTTCACCAGATGGTTCTTGTCATCTGTTTCCCAGCACCTGTGAATTCATTTGAACGGGACTGCTTCCACACTGGAGCGTTTAATATGGGGCAATACGGATACACTAATTTTACACGTTTTAACAAGAACTGCTAACACTCTAGATAAACAGTTGAAGGTAGATCCAGGTTTCTTATTATTTTGCAGATGTTGTGCTGAGGTTGTCCTTTTAAAATCAGTTTTTTCTTCTGTTTTAAGATCACAGATGTGTCCTTGCCAAACTACCTGGTGGCCTCCTCCGTGGGTCTGTTGCCCACGCAGCTCCTCAACTCCTACCTGGGAACGACGCTCCGCACCATGGAGGACGTCATTGCCGAGCAGAGCGTCAGCGGCTACTTTGTATTCAGCCTGCAGGTGAGCCATCGGGGACGTTAGACACGCTGGAGTCAGACACGACTAACCTAATATAAAAGAGGAAGTGTGGGAGCTCCGTCCAGCAAGTCTGTTTTTAGAGCTTCTTTTTTTTTAACAGTTTGTATTTGCATTGGTCTTTAGACAACTCCTGCTGATTTTCATGTATTTACACACAACAGTTTAAAATGTTCTTCAAGAGGATCTCAATATCTGTAAGCCAAAGTTAAATTTATTTCTTTAAGCTTTGATTCAGTTTCAAGCTCAGATCCTCTACTTTTAAACTTAAGCAATATTTTATAAACAATGTGTACACCTGAAGTTCCTTGTTAGTTTAAATCATGTCAAACTCAAGGCCCATGGGCCAAATCTGGCCCTCATTAACATTTTATCTGGCCCCAAAGGCAGTACTTTAACTGTGAAATAGTTTAACGGTTTCTCTTTATGTCCCTGGATTTAATGTATTCTGCTAATGACAGCTGGCAAACTTTCAAAACGAAAAAAAAAAGTTAGAATTCTTCAGTAATCTTTGCTTTTGGAGTGGAGAGAAAAACAGAACTTTATCTATTGCTGTATTAATTTCTTATTTTAAAGTTAAAGAATTGGATTTTTAGTGAGGGTTTTCTTTTTTTTAATCTGATTTATTTGTGATAAAATGTATCTGTAATAATTAATAAATCAGAAAAGGTGTTGGTAGTTGGAACTGATTGGCCACTACGATTGACAAGTGGGAGTGGGGATCACATTTGGCAATAAAATGTGGTCCGTTAGAGCTAAAACAAAGTAAATATCTGTTTAGCAGCTGTGTCATCTAGTGTAGAGGGAAGCTATCAGACAAAAATAACTTCTCTAAACAACTGAATTAATGTAAAAGCAATAATTCCATGAGTTTCAGCTCAATATGTATAAAACTAGCTGAATTGCAGCCATTTGAATTTATTGTTTTCATTATATTTGAAGTTTAAAGTAAAAAAACCCATCAGTACGCCCCTCTAAAGGTAAACTCTACACGTTACTCCAACAGTATTTGTGGGTTTCTGAGCCATCGTGGCAGCGGTGATAATTATTCCAAGCATTCTGAGAAAACAAGACGCAACACACCTGCTTTTGTCTTCTTGGAAACATATTTGTGTTGGCAAGGTGTAGCACTGGAAGTGAAGCGACAAACAGACCACACCTTGAAAAGGAAGTGACGTATTTTGTTAATAAATGACTGATTCATTTTTCAGGTTCAGCAAGTTTGTCGTACTGTTTCCTAACACAAAGGTCAAACCATCACAATGACTTACGTTTGCCTTTTAATTGTCATGCAAATGATTATTTTTAAACAGTGTACTAAGGTTATTAGCTTGAATATACACATAAAGCTAAAATAAACAAGTAGATGATTTAGTGGTGGTTGCATCAAATAAATGAACTCAGTTTTTTTCTGTCTGGTTATTTGCTTTTTGCAACCTTATCTGTGTCATCATTGTCAACCCAGCTTAAAAAAACATGTGTTCCTTTGATTATTAAAGTTTAAGTGCTTCATGAGAAATGGCTTGTTGCATCACCTGTCCACTCATGTGTCAGTAAACGATAGYAGAAGAAGAAGGCACCACCTGAAACCGTAAACACCTGTCGTAGCTAAAGCATAGAAATTGTAATATAGAAACATAAAGTCATTTCTATTTATCCCAGGGTTTTTATTAAAGGAAATAGATTTTTAGCAGCTTTGCAAAATAACTCATATTTTACAAACTGTAACAAACAAGCATTCACCTATCCCAGTGTTGATTCAAAATACTCTATAAACTAATGTGCTGTCATTTATTACATTTTAAAAATGGATTAAAACCAGGAAAATTGAAGTTCAGCCCGTTAAAGCATTGAAGTGGGGTTCTGTGGAAGAGAGATGCAAAAGCAATATCTTACCTGTTGTGGATGGCTCTTTGAATGCCATCTGCTTGGAGAAATAGGTTAATTTGACTGGAGCTAATAAGCTAACGGCTAGTGCATCATGTTAACGTTATTTTTTTAAATTTTTAAAAAAATTTTTTTTACCAAAACCACACAATGGTCACTTTTGTACATTTAATCTCATGGGGTTGTGTCGTTCAAACTGTGTCAGCAGAAATCTGTAGCATTTTTAATGTGGTCAGATGCACTTCCTGCATGAATTTAGTAAGATTTTACTGGAAAAACCACATCTAAATTGTGTTTGTATAAATGACAACAATAAGTAACACACAAAAAAAAAAAAATCAAGCCAACACCTGTCTTGCTGTCTTCCTCCACAGATCATCATCAGCATCGGCCTGATGTTCTACGTGGTCCACCGGGCTCAGGTGGAGCTGAACGCAGCCATCGCCGCCTGCCAGATGGAGCTGAAGTCGTCGCACATGAACGGCTCCTCGGCCAATCACGGCAGCTTCTCTTACCGCAGCAAGAGGGCAGCGGCTGGCAGCGACGCCTGCATCAACGTGGTGTGACGTCCCGCCTTCCTCGTGCGCCGGAGGCTCCCACCGACTCAGACTCTCGAACATAAGACTGTGAGTCCGGAGAGTTCTGGCGGCGCGTTCCGATCTGCCATTTGGGAAAACTGATTTTTTTTTTTTTTAGTTGTTGTAGTTTTAGACCCATGAGACCACTCACCTGTTGTTGAAACGGTGCAGTGAGAATAGTTTTGTGGTACATCATCGTTTCTTTTCTTTAATGAAGCATTTTTTTATATCTACTGTTACAGGAGATGTCAATGAAGTCCTGATGTTTAGAAAATCATGATAGGTGGTGTAAAACAYGGCTGCCTGCCGTCTTTATTCTGAATGTGCAATTTGGAGCTTTCTAGAGAACCAAGGAACTGATTTCTCGTCGCCGACCTATGCACCTTTATTCCATACAGTTCATTCTGTTCGTGTTTTATCGTGTTTTCAGGCGACCGTCTTCACTCAGTGCTCATTTTGAGCGAGCAAAATAAGGGCATTAAGAACACGGTTGAATCATTTTGCTTCACCTAATTTTTTTAGGTGTCTTATTTTTTTAATTTGTACAGAACACATCAGCCGACTTGTCCAGAGGTGGTATTATTATTATTATTATTATTATTATTATT